GAGAACTCTCCGGACAACCTAACAGGAAAGGTAAACAGAAACAGACACAGCCAAAAGAAAAACGAAAAGGATTCGATAACAGTTTTTTTTTAATTTTTTTCTTTGAACACTTTGTCCGGGTGAATCACTACATGTTGATAGAAACCAAAAGCTTGTATTCTCAACCATTTCAGTGAATTAGCGCCGTATTAAGTAGAGATTTTCACACCTTATCTAAAGAGGTTCTTGTTTTGGATCACACCCCATTTCGGAGTAATTATCTACCTATAATGTGAGGCGAACTTATGAAGAGAAAGCAGTGAAGGAAGAATGGGGACAACTGAGAAGTTGAATTTGTTTGAAATTAAGTGAAACGTAAATCCAAAAATACTTAAATGAGCATGTAAAAAATAGGAAAAAGTAATAAGTGCCTCCATAGTTCGATAACGATCCATTTCAAATTCTTCGATATCGGAGTTAATTGATCCATTCAACGCTTTCATTATACGAACCATTTCCAGATTCGTGCGTAATGGTAGATCCGAACCGGATAAATACTACAATATGACCTATATCAAATGCACATAAATGGGGAAAAATCGATAATCAATAAACGATAAGTATTAGGCCAATTAGAATTACAAACCTGATAATATTTCCAATTATGTTTCGAATGGGCCAGATATTTGAAACATTGATATACGTTGTCGAGTATGCCATACGATCCCCATTGGGATCGCTTTCCAATCTGGATCAGAAAGATTTTTCTGTGTATTCGAAATCCTATCGGATTTTTAGCGCAGTTGTGTAGGTAATTATTGATCGCCAGTTGTACAGGTAATTACTGATTGCTTATGAAACTGCACTGATTTCGAAGGAAATTGGATTCGGAAGCAAATTCATCTACTGTTGCAACCAGTGATCATAGCGCGGCTTTCTGCTAAAAAGTTGCGACTGTGGAAAAGGTGTAATGATATGGATAATGAATAAATGAATGGCAAAATAAATAACATAATAAAATGTATAAAAATACTGGGACTTTGCAAGAAAAACAAGCCTAGTTCCTATCACTTAGGAATCTTATGGGAGCAGATGCTTGGTAATGGCAAAAGGCGCCAGTTGTCGGGCGATTGGGCTGCAAGTAAAACCGCGATCGTCTCCCTCCTGTGCAAAACAAACCTTTAACTGCCTGCGTGGAGGAAAACAGTTATCAAAGGGTTCACGGCAGGAGCCTTTGCCCTCTATCCATCGAGGATCTCATAGCTTGAAATAATTCACTATGGAATACTATTTTCTCCATTTAAAAATTGTCAACAGAAATTTGGTCACAAAAAACTTAGCATGAATAGAACTGAACATGAAACTACAACTACTACTACTAACTACTACAATGAAACTACAAACTTAGCATGAATGAATAAAAAATGCGCAAGAAGGTAAAATGGATCCCTCTGGGTTGCGTCGGGGTATACGCGAGCTATGATTAGTCGTCAGTTGTGATGGTCCAATCACAAACTGCCTCTATAGATCCGCTTGGAGAAGCTGTGCGTAACTTCCAGGGAAACTTGCGTGAAATGTTTTTCGCTATACGAATAAATAAATGTCAACAACTTGTACATAAATCACGAAGGTTTGTAAAAAAAGCGTAGTACGAATGCATTTAAAAATTGCCCAAATTATGCGGAACCTTGAATAATGTGTATTTCAACGGCATGGTAAAAAAACTCACAAAAGTTTTAATGTTTTCGAAGCACTTCGGCAGTTGCATCACGATCCTTTTAAAGGTCCTACTAGCAGTACCATCGATGGTTATGCAATAAGCGTTTTGTGGATAATAAAAAATACTCAGCTCTAGTAATACCTCAAAAACCGTTCAATTTTTTGATACTGCTGGAGACACAGTAAGGAAATCCAGTTCCTTCCTATTACCTGTACGATATCTTTGTACACAACTAAACCAAAAGCAAGAGGAAATTCCTCTTCTTCTTCGGAGAGCGGCCTTTTCTCGAAGTAGAAATACTTATCGATCGTTTCACAGCTGAATTCATTTATTAATCGATTTACTCGAATGCATTGAATTCATTCCTCACATATTTGACGATTTTTGAAGCTCATGTTCATATTTCTCAAAACTATAAGTCCAGTGCCGGTACTTCACCACATCTTCGGTGTCAAATATCGTTGGTATGCAATCCAAATGCATCGCTTCCAAATAATTCAAGGGTAGGCCTCTGAATCGTGCCATCGTTGTGGAGTTCTGGCTTCAGATCCATTAGAAAAGCAGTATTGATTTTTTTCATAAGTAAAAATTCGAATCTATAAACCTTACGTGTCAGAAAAGAATGGGCCTTGTGTTTGACTGTTCCAGTATAGCAAAAATATGATGAATATAATATAATGATATTTTTTACGCATTAGAAGACGTGGGTAAATGTACATGAGACAGCTAAGCGAAAACAAATGAAGATCTCATCGCGGGTCACGCTTCCTGCGCGTTTTCTAGCGATTACTATCGTGTGGTGCAAATCATGGGAACGTGGGATTTTTCTTTGCTGAGATACAACCCTCTTCGGTGCTTTCTCATACTCTACGGCTCCCACCTATAGGAAAGTGGCGTCGGGTGAGCCGGAGGAGGGTTCCATAAGCTGTGAGAAATGGTGCAATTGCCGTTTCAGCCAGGGCACATGGTTAATTGGAGATTTTGGCCGTTTCCGTACGACTCCCCTCCCCCTTGGACACCTCCTCATCGAGCTGTCGAACGGGAGTGTGGTGGTAAGTAGTACATATGAAACGGGAACAACTGCGAGGAAAACAAGATCATCGTCTCTTGCACAATTTCTCTCCCCATTTCCCCAATTTTCCACCATCTTTTCCGGGAAGTTCCCGAAAGTTTTCCTACTTTTTCCCTGGACTTTGTTGCCCCCGGTAAAGTATATTGTACACTTGAACCAGGAAAAACTACGAAAGGTCAGCAACCTCTCTCAGGAGGTCAGAAAGGAAATACGACCACCCTCCCTCTCAATAACGAGCAAATACGCCCCCCCCCCTCTTTTAAAGCCCCTGAAAAGAAGAAAAATCAACATGTAAGTTTTTTCCCAGCCCAAATAGGGCCCCCCATCCCCTATTGGCGGATCCCCAACAACAATGTGCCGTGGTTTCAGCGTGGGGGATAGATAAATATAGTGCACACTTACACGGCCCATCTCACCCGAACATAAATACGGCCGCTCCCGAAGCTTCTGCTACGGGTATATTTTAACATTCAAGAGATTTTAAATGTTCTGAAAAACTTGCCTCTGCGAGATTTCTGTGCACAACATCTTTGTGAAGCTTTATTACCTTTATTGAAACCAAACTGTACTTTCATTTTCAAGGTCTTGCTGCCATGTGCAAGGTTAGCTGGTCCGTAGTTGCGAACACATGCCTTTTCCCCCATTCAAAAAGCCCAGGAATGGGCTCTAAATTAGTAATAACCGGTGCCGTCTTCCCATTTCGCCCGCGCATCGAGTGCAGCACTTGCGTTGGTGCCACTGCGACACATGTCAGGATATGTGTCGAGTGCAGAACTCCTCCTCCTTTTTTTTCTTCCTTCTCCCCCTTCTGTATTTTTCTTTCTTTTTTCTTTCTTTCTTTCTTTCTTTCTTTCTTTCTTTCTTTCTTTCTTTCTTTCTTTCTTTCTTTCTTTCTTTCTTTCTTTCTTTCTTTCTTTCTTTCTTTCTTTCTTTCTTTCTTTCTTTCTTTCTTTCTTTCTTTCTTTCTTTCTTTCTTTCTTTCTTTCTTTCTTTCTTTCTTTCTTTCTTTCTTTCTCTTCTTACTTTCTTCTTAGTCTTTCTTCGGCTTCTCGTTTCCCCACGTTTGTCTTTCTTTCTTTTCTTTCTTTCTTTCTTTCTTACTTCTTTCTTCTTTCTTTCTTTCTTTCCTCTTCCTTATTTTTCCTCCCTTCGAATTTTTGGCCCAGAAGATGGGATGAGAAACACCTCTGGACCAGAGCAGGGAAGACAGTATTCGGTCGACAGAAGCCCTGAAGCCCCTTATAGGAAACAAACAGTCAGAGGTGGAGAACAACCCGTCAGCCAGGGGCCTAGCACAGGTGTGATAGGGCGCAGACAAGCAGCGTCTTTGGTTACGGTTTTGGTTACGGTTGGCTGACGGTGCTGCGAGGCGGGTTGAGCCGGAGACGGCACCAAAGCAAAGAAAGTGGCATGCTACTGCAGCTGCTAACCCATTCACCTCACAAATGGCAAGGATCAGGATCCACGGAGGGGAGGGTATAGTCGAGTGAGTGTACAGTTTGTCATCAAGGCGATACGATTGATGCGATATTGATTGTACTGATGCGATATTGATTGTACTCAACTGGAGTACTGCAGTAAATCTCTTGACAGCAGCTGAGTATCGTATATGTCAGTGTTGTAACTCTTTCTGAAAATTGTACTTACGTAAAAACTGTAATCAGGAATTGTACTTCATTAGCGCACATGGAAAACATGAGTAAATGAATTCTTTGTTATGACTTTCTAGTGTGCTAGACATTGCCTAGTGCTTGTGTAATTGAGAACATTCACGTATTTTATTGCACGTGCAATCGCAAATTTCACGATGTCTCACACTTGTCTAATTAATGCAGTCCTTGGTCGTTTCGAGAGAGCTCACTTCTGTTTCTGTAAGATTCACGGAGCCGACGTTCACCACCATCGGAGCATCTAGCACAAGCCGCGACTTCAGTAGGCAACGCTGAAATGACAATACAAAATAATTTTGCTAGAAAGGTCTTCTTGAGAACAGTGAGTTTAAGTGTGATCAAATACACACTAGTGTGGTGCCAACCTCAACTTCAATACTGAGGCCCTATCTCTCAGAAGGAAAAAAATTGATCTAATCTTGATTTGCAAGATTATCAATTTCCACACTGGCGTTATAGAGAACCATTCATTGGGGAGAAGCTGATTCCTCGTAGAACTAAGAGTAATGCAGGCATCACTTCGTCGCAAACATTTGGGGGATTTTTCAGAGTATAACCGACTAGTCATTTATAAGTGCCACCAGCAATTTGAGCCCTTCTAAAACTGCTTTGGACAATAATCTCGAATCATAGTACGTTTACAGGCATCGATCATGTATTAATTATTTCCTTTCCTTTCACTCTGAGTCATGGTTTCTATCGTGTTTCGGTCGCACGGCATTGAGACTATGCTGCGTCTTTGTTTTGTTAAGTTTGGTTTTTGTGTTGTTTTTTGAACAACGCACGGTTAACCTATGTAATAAGCATTACAATTGCAGGTCTATGAGGCAGTAAAGTATAACAAAATATAAAGTTACTATCAGGGGTGATAATTGTTTGAGACGCTCAACATATGGTGAATGATTAGGAATTGCTCGAAGTAAAAGGCAACCTGTCCGACCTCAGAACGTTCTGGTATTCCACATTCCACAGTGCTGAAGCGCGAGATTTCTATACAGTCTCGCTCGCTTGCGGAAGCAGGGCGTTTCAGCGGGGCTGGGTTAAGGCACGAAGTAAGCCACAACGGACGATGTGTGCAGCCTTTGCTTGCCCAAAAACGAAAGAACCAACCCATAACCATATAAACGCAGCGAACATGTATTGTTAGCTCTTCGGCAGATCACTCACAACAGCCGCGGCGTGATATGCGCCGCCAAACTGCAATATAAAGGGCAAAGAAGGCTCAGTTTGAGCTTTCGCTCTTTTTTCGGATTCTTGTTGACTACCCGCTCTTGTGAATCCTCCTCTGTTCTTTCCTCCGATCACTCTTGCGATTGAGCGAGCATTTGTACTCTTGCAATTATGCGACCTCTTTGAACATTTGTTCTGACTTCTGCGATTATGCGGTTGTAAAGCTGTTGGAGTTCCTCATATATTATACGGTCTGTGAAGCTTTATACTATGTTGAAGTTACTGTTATGTTAATCCCACCTTTAATGTTAATCTTGTTGTAATACTGATGAAGTTGATAAACGTTCAATTACCTAAGTTTGAGGTCATTCAACGAGGTTT